GGGCGCGTAGTACGCGCCGGCGGCTAGATGGTACGCGCCGGCGGTAAACGGAACACACCGAGAGCGCGGCGGCTGGCTGGCACGCGCCGGGTGCGCGCGGGTTACGTGGGGCGTTCGCCGAGGGCGACGGCCGGGGGTAGGCGGCACGGCCGGAGAAGGTAGCCGGCTCGGAGGGACGCGGTGCATTAGCCCCCATGGGATTTATTCCACGCTGCATCAGCTAGCAGCCCTGCAAGGTCACGCAATGACAGTGCTCTGGTTTTAGAACAAAGCGCGCAACAATGTATTACTTTGTCAGCGCGGTTAGTAGTAGTATTTACACAGGGCAATTGTATTTCTCGGTCTAGCGACTTCGCGATTGTGTCATTGCACGTGCATGCAGGTATTGTGGCGCGAGGCCCTGTCATTGGCCTAGAGATGTGTGTCTTCAATCCGCGATGTGCAGGGCCATTGCGCGTGAGTGTGTGTACTTTGGCATGAAGCTCTGTCATTAGCCTAGAGATGTGCGTCTTCAACCCGCGATGTGCAAAGCCAGTGCGCGTGCGCGTGTGTACTTTGGCGCGAAGCTCTGTCATTGGCCTAGAGATGTGCGTCTTCAATCCGCGATGTCCAAGGCCATTGCGCGTGCGTGTGTGTACTTTGGCGCGAAGCTCTGTCATTGGCCTAGAGATGTGCGTCTCCAATCCGTGGTACGCGAAGCCAGTAACTAACGCGCAACATGTAATTTTTGCGCGAAGGATTATCATTGGTTAATGAGAAGTGTATTTGAATCCGCGGGGGGGCTATATAAGGAGGACTTTGCCACGATTGAGAGACTACTAACCAGGGGACTAAGGTTAGACAACAGTTAGGGTAGCCAGCTAGGGACACACAAAGAGAGAGTAGTTAGATAGGATGAAGAAGTCGATGATTATATGGAGATGTAGAGTAAAAGTTAGTTAGTAGAACACAAGATAGATAATCATTTTACCGGGGGGAAAGGAGTGGGAACTAGATCGGATGTAAACCAAGGGCGTGTAACCTATACTGTTTGTCACCTCCGCGAATGCGGACATGTTTTTGTTGTGGAATAAAAGGCTCTCTTTAGCACTAAAACGTATTCCCGGCTTGTGTAGTATCTCTGTCGAGCTACATCCACGCACACTCACGCACTCCGAGACTGCCGAAGAGCCGGCGATAAACGCCGGTAGGTAAAGAACACAACGCAACAAGGTACTATACGATCACGAAAACAGTGAGAAGGGTAGCAAGACGAGAAATAACCGAAAACGCCACTGTCCGCTGTGCTCGTTGAACGGCGCACACAGAACGCCACACTTCATATGTGTTTTCTTATTGTATTTTGATTGTTGTTATGTTTGTGTATTTATTGTGGGTTGTTTAATCGGACAGAAAGACGTTTCTCTCGTTGGGTTGAGTTAGGAAACTATTAGGGTAGTAATTTTTTTGGTAATTTTTTAGGTTTAGGTTGAAGTGTGTAGATCAGCGGGGACGCTTAATCGATGACAGGGTAGTCATCGTTTTGGGGAAATGGGAGATAATGTAACATATGATTTACAGATGTTGCATGAATTAGTCAGCGGAGCTAGACTTGGGGTTGTTTTAGTGGTAGTCTATGTAGACAGAGCGTCGCGCATCTTGTGCGGCTAGATTGATGGTATAGGGAGAATAGTAAACGTGTTTTAGGTCGGCCGTTTCTAGGGTCATTGTGAAGTGGGGGTAGGACGCGGTCTGGAAGAACGGGTACATGTGCGTGCAGGATGTTTGTAGGAGTTTTGGGGGGAATATATAGAACAGAGATGTAAGAGTCGAGAGATTCTGGTTCTGGTCGCGAGAGAAAGCGCACGCGCGTGCCACGTGCGTGTGCGTGGTTTTGTGTCTCTTTGTGCGATGTGTCTACACTGTATGAGTTATTAAAGATTATTCCGGTTACAACACAAGTTTGGCTTTATATCATCATTCTTGTTTACAAGTGGCGAGATGGTGAGCGTGGCACATCTGAAGGCAAGTGACAAACCGACAAGCAGTTTCTTTCACACAACGTGTTTTTTAGATTACACGTGTCAGTGTATTCATAAGAAGTGTGTGTGTGTGTGCGTGCTGCGTGCGTGCGTGTGTGTGAGAGAGAAAGAGACCGACACACACACACAGACACAAAGGGAGAGAGAGAGAAAGAGAGAAAGGGAGAGAGAGAGAGCAAATTATTTCAGCGCTAGTGAGATCATGACAATTCAGCACGCACGGGGAGCTTGTTGAAATGTGTTGCGCGTTTGCAATTTCATTTTATGAAAGATATCTCAGAGTGTCGCTGCCCAAGCACCAACGCATGAAACTGATGTCTTGAAAAATGTGTATTTATTCTCATCAGACACCGTGAAACTGAAACATACAACATTATGCTATGAATATACTGATGTACATCAACTGCACCCTTACTCGTCATCATTATGTATTTCAAACTTACAACTTACGTCTTTACAATGACCTAACTTATGTTACGAAAATACGTCTGTTACGGTAGAACAAGCAAGATCTCTCAAAGTGATTTACCATACAAATAAACGATCGATACTTCCTATAATTGCCACTAAACATTTCTAAGCACGTTCTAGATATATTCTTACCTCGTTGGAAGGTTCGTACGAGCTTGAAACAGCGAAGTTTTTGAGATAGTTTGGGCAAAATTAGTCGAAAGTTTTGCGATGCTGTTGCCTCTACGAAATTCTGATGGCATGTGCCAATTTAACGCGTCGCGAACAAATATATTATCAAAAATCGTAATCCGCTACGAGGTAACAATAAATGCAAGATCAGCATGTATACTAATGTTAATGAGTATTTCTGACTTATCTCCTGATAAATTCATGTAAAATATGCGACGAAACCATGTCTGCGAGTGGTGAACTATATGTTATGTGCGGACGGATATCTGTGTTGTCTGAGCGATTTTCGCGGAGAATCTAGCTATATGCTAATGTACAATGAGCGCGCATAGCCCGATGCAGCAGTGGCCTGGCCTTCTGAGTCAGCAGCACGCACACTCTCACCCAAATCATTCATGATTATTTCAAATTGGGGATTTGGAGCACCAGCTTATAAATGGGTCTCTCCAGGATGGTTCGTTTACCGAGAGGTCGGCCACGTTTGTCCATTTCGGATGTAGATATTAAGAGCTTAACCTTGCGGACAAGACCGTCTTCTCTCCTGAATGCTTCCACAATCCTGGCAGTTCTCCAGTTTGACCTCACTCCATCGTCTGCTAAAATGACAATGTCACCTACTTCCTGCTACATTTTGCTATGGTCTTTTTCAAGTTGATCGAGTCTGCAGTGTGTGCAAGAACTCCTTTTTTCAGCGTGTCCAGAACAGGTTGGTTAAGTATTGCACCCGTCTCCACCATTTCTTCGGGTAGAGATCATCTTTCACGAACTTCCCTGGGGGAGACATTACGACTCCGGATTTTATCGTGAGTAGATGATTTGGAGATAGTGGTGTTGGTTCATCTGGACTTTCCATTTCAACAGTCAGCGGTCTGCTGTTGATGACTGCCATGGCTTCATACACGAATATGCGCAGTGATGATGTTGTGAGTTGTATACCCGATTCATCCAGAATGTTGTTCAGGATGTTGCGCACATTTCTGATTTGGCGTTCCCACACGCCGCCCATGTGACTAGCCGATGGTGGGTTAAGCTTGTACTCGCATTCGGACTGTAGGAGCTTGGATGCGATGTGGTCAGAGTCCAGTTCTTTCAAACTCTTTGAGTTCATGTTTT